GAGTGCGAGAGAAACAATAGAGAATAGAGCATGAGCATGGTAAGACTGTGCCCGCCTGGCCAGCAAGTGTAGTGGGATCTGACCCACAGGAGAAAATCCTGCTTCCCCACTAACCTCCACACCCACTCAGACAGGAACCTGCCTGAAGTTGATGCAAAATCGTGCCAGGAGACGTTGGGCTCTGTGGAGAGGAGATAATAGAAAGAAGCATCTCGAACTCCCCAGAGCTCTGTGCTAGGACTGCACTGGACGAGGGAGGGACTGGTCTGAGCTACCACTCGAGGGAGATAGGCACCTCGCCTCTGGCAGTCAACGGGACCAGAGTGAAGGTGAACACTAAAAGGGGGGCTCTATCCTGGAAACCACTACGGATGATTAGGCCAGCTCAGGGTAAGTCATAAAGAGCAAGACCACCTGCTGGGCAGGTGTGAGATTGTGGGAGAGCAACAAAAAAGAGACAACGGGATGTTGTGATGACTCAGCTCCCCAATCCAGAATCTACCAACTCCTACCAACAATTGCCCCCAGTGCTAGCGCCCTGCGGGTGAGCAGCCACAATTTGGGGGATCCACAGCCCAGATGCTGTGGTGCACTACAGCGTTGGCAGCACCTTTCACCTAGCCCAGGAACTCTCATGACAAGCTCCGTCCTTTCACAACCTATTCCAACTAGCTGGGCTGGTTTTGATGGGTGAATTTTGAATACTTACCCAGTCATGAGAGGCTAACGCCTACGGGATTTATAGGCACTGGGGCTCTGGGCAGACTGGGGTACCGCCCCTTCCCCTAACGCAGCCATTTTTTAGCCAAGAGTGGTAGGCTCCACCCCTGGAGGCAGGGAGAGGAAAGAAAAGCCACTTACCCTGTGCAACTGGTGTGAATCTGCATGACCTTCACACTGATCAATAGTTGACAGACCAGTGACTCTGCTTGTTAGACCAGCTTAGGTCATTCAGTAGGATCATAACTCTGGGGCCTGATCTCCACGTTTGGTCAGATACCAATAGTGGGGTTTGTGGTGAGGGAAGGAAAATCCTGGCCAGAGGCCACAGCAGGTGCACCAAGTAACCCCTCCCATCAGGAGTAGCCTCCCAAGTGTGGTAGAAGAACCCTGAACAACATATTAGCTGCTCCCCATAGCAGCATATCAAGTAACCATAGAAGCACACACATCCAGCCTGGTAGGCAACAGCTGTGATCTGCCTTGCTCCTGAATACCACCTACTGGCTTAGAGACTAAACAGGTCATGTCATTATCCAAACAAAAACCGAAAGGTATAAAGTAGCAGCTGATCCAGATGGGAAGAAATCAGCAAAAGAACTCTGGAAGTATGAAGCATCAAACAGAAAACACACTTCCAAAGGGCAATGCCAGCTCTCTAGCAATGGACATCAACCAAATTCAGAAAACTAAAATGACAGAATTTCGAACATCAACTATAAGAAAACTCAATGATATGCAAGAATAAATGGATAATCAACACAAACCACACACAAAAAAATCCAGGACTTGGAAGAAAAATTCACTAAAGAAATTGAAATATTAAAGAAAAATCAAAGTGAATTCCTAGAAATGAAGAATTTATTCAAGCAATTACAAAACACAGTAGAAAGCCTTAATAACAGGGTAGATCAAACAGAAGAAAGAATCTCAGGGATTGAAGATAACACCTTCTAATTAAATAAGTCAGTCACAGAGGCAGAGCAGGGAAATAAGAGAAAAGAGCAAAGCCTACAAGAAATGTGGGATTATGTCATGAATCCTAACGTGAGAATCATAGATATCCCTGAGGGTGAAGAAGAAAATACGCAAGGTTTGGATAAGCTATTTGAGGATATACTAGAGTAAAATTTCCCAGGCCTTGCTAAAAATCTTGATATCCAGGTACAAGAAGCTCAAAGGACTCCTGGGAGATTCAGTGCACACAGGAAGACACCATGACACACAGTAATCAGACCAAAATAACCACCAAAGAGGCCCCCCTATGAGCCTTAAGGCGAAAGAAGCAGGTAGCCTATAAAGGAAAGCCCTTCCGAATAACAGCAGACTTCTCAACTGAAACCTTACAAGTGAGAAGAGACTGAGGCCCCATTCTCACTCTTCTCAAACAGAATAATGCCCAGCCTAGAATCTTGTACACTGCAAAACTAAGTTTTGTATACGAAGGAGAAATAAAGACATTCTCAGATAAGCAAAGACTGAGGGAATTCACCAAGACAAGACCTGCCCTACAGGAAGTACGCAAAACAGTGTTACATGCAGATCAGCACAATAAACATGAATGTAAAATAACCCAAAAGCTAAAGGTCAAAGGCCAGATACCACAGTGGCACAAGAAAGTTGTTGCTGTGACTACCTTTGGGATCTTCTTTATAAATTCTTTGCCTTTAGCTTCTACTTACAAGTGAGAAAAAAAAAAATAAAATAAATAAATAAATTCTTTGCCTAGGCCAATGTTTATAAGAGTTTTTCCCACATTTTCTTCTAGAATTCTTTTTTTTTTTTGAGACAGAGTTTCACTTTGTTGCCCAAGCTAGGGTGAGTGCCATGGCTTCAGCCTAGCTCACAGCAACCTTAAACTCATGGGCTCAAGCAATCTCCTGCCCTCAGCCTCCCAAGTAGCTGGGACTACAGGCATGTGCCACCATGCCTGGCTATGCCTGGCTAATTTTTTCTATATATATTAGTTGGCCAATTAACTTCTTTCTTTTTTTTTTTTTTTTTTGAGACAGAGTCTCGCTTTGTTGACCAGGTTAGAGTGAGTGCCGTGGTGGCAGCCTAGCTCACAGCAACCTCAAACTCCTGGGCTCAAGCAATCCTACTGCTTCAGCCTCCCAAGTAGCTGGGACTACAGGCATGTACTACCATGCCCGGCTGATTTTTTCTATATATATATATTAGTTGGCCAATTAATTTCTTTCTATTTATAGTAGAGACAGGGGTCTCACTCTTGCTTAGGCTGGTTTCAAACTCCTGACCTCGAGCAATCCGTCCGCCTCGGCCTCCCAGAGTGCTAGGATTACAGGCGTGAGCCACCGCTCCCGGCCAACAGTCACAATTTGATCTACTTCTAAGTGTCTAACCTCATGAAATGATCACAAATAATAACAACAATAATAATAAACATTTCTATAGCATGTACCAGGAATTGCTCTAAGTACTTTTCGATTTGTGGGGAAAAAAAAAAAAACCAGTATCCAAACATATACACAGTGATGCTGTACATACATGTATGTGTCCATTTTCTTAGGGAAAAATTGAATAACTTTTCTGCACATTTTTCTAACAGTTACAATTTAGCCCCTAATCAAATTGTCAGGAAATTAGAAAGGGAAAAAGAATTGTTCCCCAACTATAACAAAACTAAAAGTGATTTTTATTCTTATTTATTTATTTATTTTTTGAGACAGGGTCTCACTCTATTGCCTGGGCTAGAGTGCCGTGGCATCAGCCTAGCTCACAGCAACCTCAAACTCCTGGGCTCAAGCAATCCTCCTGCCTCAGCCTCCAGAGTAGCTGGGACTACAGGCATGCGCCACTATGCCCGGCTAATTTTTTATATATACATTAGTTGGCCAATTAATTTCTTTCTATTTTTATAGTAGAGATGGGGTCTCGCTCAGGCTGGTTTTGAACTCCTGACCTCGAGCAATCCGCCCACCTCAGCCTCCCAGAGTGCTAGGATTACAGGCGTGAGCCACCGCACCCGGCCATTTGTTAGTTTGTTTTGAAATGGGGTCTCACCCTCTCTCCCAGGTTGGAGTGCAGTGGCACATTCACAACTCACTGCAGCCTTGAACTCCTGGGTTCAAGCAGTCCTCCTACCTGAGCTTCCCAATTAGGGGGACCACAGGTGCCTGCCACCACGCCTACCTAATTTTTTTTTTTGGAGAGAAAGTCTCTCTTTGTAGTCCCAGGTAGAGTGCAGTGGTGTCAGCCTAGCTCACAGCAACCTCATACTCCTGGGCTCAAGCATCCCCCTGCCTCAGCCTCTAGAGTAGTTGGGACTACAGCCTAGAGTCAACATGCCTGGCTAATTTTTGTCTCCCTCCCTCCCTCCTCCTCCTCCTCTTCCTTCCTTCCTTCCTCCCTCCTCCTCCCTCCTCCTCCTTCCTTCTCCTTCCTCCTCCTTCCTCCTCCTTCCTCCTCCTCCTCCCTCCTCCTCCTCCCTCCTCCTCCCTTCCTCCCTTCCTTCCCTCCCTTCCCCTCCCCTCCCCTCTTTCTGAGACAGGGTCTCACTGTATTGTCCAGGCTGGTATTAAACTTCTGGGCTCAAGCAATCATCCCCCCTCAGCCTCCCAAAGTGCTGGGACTACAGGTGTGACACCAAACCCAGCCTGGTTTTTTTCCATTTCTAAGAAAATCACTCAAGTCAGTATCTTCAGGTGTTTCCTCTTGGGGCTGGTTGGGTTTTCCAGAGACTTCGATTCTCCTACATGAATGATAAAGACTGGGACTCCAGGGTTTTGGAAGATACGTGTGGGAAGATAGCAGGGGTCTCTGCATTCACCATGCATATGTGCCTTTAGTGTCCCTGTTTGCTCTGGTATCTTTGCCTCCAAGCTATGCTTGGTATTCTAGTCTGGAGACCCTCTGTTTTAGCCTTCACAAAGTTAAGCTGCAGTCTGCAGGATTGGGGAAGAAGACCTACGGGTCTGAAAATTTCTTAAACAGCTTTTAAGCCATCCCATTTCTTTTATCTTATACCCTTTCACCCTCACTTTAGAGAAACCTGGTGCTACCACTCACAGAACTTACTGAAGATTTAATTTTTTTTCTATTTTTTGGTAAAAACAGTGTTTCACTCTTGCTCAGGCTGGTCTCGAACTCCTGAGCTCAAATGATCCTCTTGCCTTGGCCTCCCAGAGAGCTAGGATTACAGGCATGAGCCTCTGTGCCTGGCCCCTTTTCACTCTTTGGAAGTGTACGCTAAGATTTATGCCGTTGGTTATTTATTATACCTAACATACTCATTTTACTCTCCTTTTGTTTTTTTGCAGTAATGTGTGTGGCTGGTATTGGGCTTGTGGTATTATTCTTCAGTTGGATGCTCTCTATATTCAGATCTAAATATCATGGATATCCATACAGGTATGATTCTTATTTATTTTACTCATTTTTTTGGAGACAGAGTCTCACTCTGTTGCCCTGGCTAGAGTGCTGTGGCGTCAGCCTAGCTCACAGCAACCTCAAACTCCTGGGCTCATGCGATCCTCCTGCCTCAGCCTCCCGGGTAGCTGGGACTTGTAGGCATGCGCCACCATGCCTGTCTGATTTTTTCTATATATTTTTAGTTGTCCAGATAATTTATTTCTATTTTTAGTAGAGACGGGGTCTCGCTCTTGCTCAGGCTGGTCTCAAACTCCTGAGCTCAAATGATCCACCTGCCTTGGCCTCCCAGAGTGCTAGGATTACAGGCATGAGCCACAGCACCTGGCCTGATTCTTATTTTTGATTTAAATAGTGATTACCTATACTTGTGATGCTTAAAGTTGATGTTGCTTTATAATATTTTCCCTTTTTTTTGCCTTGCTTTAAAACTATTCTAGCTTTTAAGGGAAAGAGATAGGCTTTAATTTAGATATATTACATATAAAAATTAATTTAAGACAATTATGGTATAATGGGTAATATTAGTGTGTGATTTCTCAGGAACATCTTTCAGGGTTATTCTGACATCAGATGATTTAATCTATAAATCTATAATAACACATAAATGATAGAATATTTTATACCATATCTATTCACACAGTTCTTTGTCTATATGCTATACTTCCTCTTGAGGAAGAAATGATTTTTAAATATTTTTTAAAACTTCTCACCTCTACTTTTGAGGGCTGTTTAGATGGCATAAACAGAACATTTGATTAGAATCCCATTTGTAGACAGTATAAGGAGTGTTTAAGAAGGTCTTAAACAGCTTGAAATGTTCATAGAGATCCCTAAGGCTCAGGAAGGAAATTGTTCTCTTAGTTATAGGTTCTTGATTTTATTCTGTTACTAGCCAAGAGAAATATACATACATAATGGGGAATGTTCTAAGTTAGTTTTATAATCTGAATGTCAATTAATATAATTCCTTTTTGTTTTGTTTTGATTTTGAGAGAGAGTCTTGCTCTGTTGCCCCAGAGTGCCATGGCTCACTGCAACCTCCAACTCCTGGGCTGAAGCGATCCTCCTGCCTCAGCCTCCTGAGTAGCTGGGACTATAGGCCCACACCATCACACCCAGCTGATTTTTCTATTTTTGGTAGAGACAGGGTCTCGCTCTTGCTCAGGCTGGTCTCTTTCTCCTGACCTCAAGTGGTCCTCCCACCTCAGCCTCCCAGAGTGCTAGGATTACAGGCGTGAGCCACCACGCCTGGCCTAATTGCCATTTTTAATACAACATTGTCCTGTCATATAAAAGATTATGAACACTAAAAGTAAAGTGTACTAACTGATATTTTTGAGATGCAAATTTATTCTTCATATTGTTTTTAACACAAGATTTTAGTAGATAATTTTAAACAGCTTCCTAGTTGATTCATTATATTGTGGAATTGCTAGAGGCTTTATTTTAGAGACAGGGTCTCACTCTGTCACCCAGGCTGGAGTACAGTGGCAATAATTTCTCTTCTACAGAGTACTAACTGGTATGTGAGGGTAAATTTGCTGGGACTTCTGTTCATTATTTGATCACCAGAGTCGATTGATTTATTAGTTAGTGTCTCTATTCAGGAGATACTTTAACTTGAGGCTGTATCTATTTCTTTTTGTCATAAGACTACCTGGTCTCTCAGTGTTTCTCACTTTTTATTATTGATCCTCAAAGATTATCATAAATGTACCAAAATGGTTTTTGATCTATTAAAATCAAGATACTACATATTTATTAGAAGTAAAGCCTACTTTTATTTCAGAAACTAATAGATTGCTATATGTTTTTGTTTCAGCTTTCTGATGAGTTAAAAAGGATCCCAGAGATATGTAGACACTGGAGTAGTGGAAATTGAAAAATGAAAAATGTGCGTGTGTTTGAAAAGAAGAATGCAACTTGTGTATTTTATATTACCTCTTTTTTTCAAGTGGTTTAAATAGTTAATCATTTAACCAAAGAAGATGTCTAGTGCCTTAACAAGCAATTTCCTATCAAAATCATGAAGTATTTGGGAATTATTCTTTTTAACTTTCTCTTTCTGATGAACGTTATGGAACATTTAATTTAGTAGAAATAAGTACATTATAAAAATTTTAAAACTACTACTTTGTTTTAATTAGAACAAATCTCAAAACTGCTTTAGTTAACTTTTGGTCATCTGATTTTATATTGTCTTATCCAAAGATGGGAAAAGAAAGTCCTGACCAGGTGTTCCCATATAAGCTTATTATAGATAACTGCATCAGGAATCCATTCTTAGCTTTTCCATCTTTGCATGGATGTGTATGCTTTACACATCTTTCATTTTGGATAGAGAAATTATATGTGCCATGTGGTCTTCTGAAAACAGAACACCATTCTTCAGAGTACACATTTAGCTTTTTAAAAAAGTCCTCCTCCCCTCTGCATTTTTCCTACTGAAATACAGTGCTATCTATGCTTCTTGATAGCTGCAGACATTAAAAAGTATTCCTAAATACATGATTATGATTTCTGCATGAGTGTGGTGGTAACTACTTTGTATCTGAAAAGATTTCAGATTCATTTCCTCTCCTTAGTTTTATTTAAGGTAGCCCTTCTCTAATAAAAAATACAGCTTAGTGCTAAAATCAATGTAACATATAAATGATCTAAAATGTATCTGCAAATTAGAGAGTGTCACTTATTTCATTTGTACCTAAAAGAAAAATAGGCTCAGTTGTGTTTAGGAAAAGGACTCCCATAGAGTGGGAAAAGAAAATCATGAAATATTAAGTTGTTGCATGTATATAGAAATTAAGTGTTTCTTGAAAGGTGTTCTGTTTTTGCTATTATTTTAGCCTTTATTCTCTTCCTTCAAGTGAGGAAACAAAGTAAAAATTTGAAGTTTTGTTTGAATTTTGTCTTTTTTTTTCTGTCAGTGGAAGTAACCATATGTCTTAACCAAATTTCTGTGAAGAATATTTTCATGGTTATCATTATGTCTAACTATAACCTTCCCCATAGCTATGAAGAGTAACCTAAAATGCCACTATTATGGAAGTATGAGAATTGTAATTCTGAAAATATAATTTTAAAGAAATCTTAGAAGTATTACACTAAAAAGAAACTGTGACTGCCTCCTGCTACTTACCAACTAATAATCTCCCATGTGGTATAGCTATCTTATATAATAGAGGTTTACAGAAGGAGATGGATATAATTGCCTCAGAATAAATGTTTTATGTCGGTTTTTGTTTTTATCTTTTGTTAGTAGATGTGGTGGGTGGGGGAATATAGTTGGCCTTTTACTCTTTAATGGACTCACATTTTGGTAATTACTCCCCTGTAAATTATGTGATTCAAGATTCTTTATCTGCTGTTCTGTACTTATCTCAGGCCAAATAAATTTATGCTGTGATTCTTATGAGACTTATATGAAGATGCCCTGTTTTGTACAAACATTGACCAGGGGACTACTACCGCTATGTAGTCTGTACAGCTCCAGATAGTTTGCCATGAGCATTGATAAAATGACAGTTTCTTGTGTTTGTTTTGTCTCCCTTTAAGAGCATATTCTTCTTCTATAAGGAGAAAGATTCTGGATAAAGTATGTTGAAAGCAGATTTATTACACTTACATAGTGTTACTTTTGTGGAAATTTTGAAATTAGCTTTCATCTAAAGTGCCTTAAGTAGACTCTTAATTTACTTTTTCTATGATAGCAATGGTTTAAATATCATTTGTTATGCCTTTTTTAAGATACTGTTCAAAATGACAGATTATAGTGGCAAAGATAACCAAATGTCTGGCTGTTTGCTTTGTGACCATATCAATAAACTTTTACAATCTAAATTCTCAGTTTTTTGATTACTATCGAAGAGGGGTGAAATTAAAACACTAAACTAGGTGGGGCACAGTGACTCATGCCTATAATCCAAACTTTTTGGGAGGCTGAGATGGGAGAATGGCTTGAGCCCAGGAGTTAGAGGTACAGTGAGCTATGATCACACTACCGCACTCCAGCCTGACAGAGTTATACCCTGTCTCTAAAAAAAGAAAAGAAAAGAAAAAAAAGGACCACTGAACTAGGATATTCCATTTTTAAGTTATAATTAATTTGGCCGGGCACGGTGGCTCACGCCTGTAATCCTAGCACTCTGAGAGGCCGAGGCGGGAGGATCGCTTGAGGTCAGGAGTTCTAAACCAGCCTGAGCAAGAGCGAGACCCCGTCTCTACTATAAATAGAAAGAAATTAATCGGCCAACTAATATATATAGAACAAATTAGCCGGGCATGGTGGCGCATGTCTATAGTCCCAGCTACTCGGGAGGCTGAGGCAGGAGGATCCCTTGAGCCCAGGAGTCTGAGGTTGCTGTGAGCTAGGCTGATGCCATGGCACTTCACTCTAGCCTGGGCAACAAAGTGAGACTCTGTCTCAAAAAAAAAAAAGTTATAATTAATTTAAATTTCTTATTGCCCTAATGCCAATTTAATAGACAGTTTCTTTTAAGTATTGCTGGATTGAGATATATTCTTCCAGGAACCCATACATGGTCCTTCAATAATGTCACACACTAGGTTAGTCAAAATAGCCAAGATGAGTAGATGAATGGCTGTTTTCAGTGATTAATCTACCTTTTGTCCCAGTCAGTGAACACTCCTTGACTAGGTAATTTCCTCTTGGTAATAAAAATTTGAAACAGTTACCCCAGCAGATTAGCAAGTTATATATGACGCTGGAAAAGAGCACATTTGCAAATATAGAGTAGAAACATGGAATAGGAAGTAAAGAGATCTGGCTTTTCGTCCTTGGGTCTGTTTCTGTCTAGCTGTGTGACCACAGCCAGATCACTTGAACCTCTTTGGACCTGTTTCTTTATCCTAAAGAGAATGTGGCCTTGTAGTTCCTTAAGTGTGGCCTTTTGACTGAATCCAAATTTTACAGAACAAATTTTTATTAATATATTTTTATTTTGTCTTTTATATTTTTATTTTATTTTTAACATGGATGTATTTAAAAATACCAAATAATAAAATAAGTTTCATCAAAATAATCCTCCCAGATTGACTGGCACAATAGAACATTAGTAAGCCATAAGAGCTAAATTAACAGCTGCTACACTCATGATTTGGTTCTTCCTTCTGCCTTACTGGCTCCACCACAGCATGAGGCTGGTTGTCAAGAGTTTATGGGGGTCAAGTACGCCAGTCTGTTATCACCTTTTGACAACAGTGAACTGTGTTTCCATTTGAAGTGAAATTTGTGAATAGTTGCACAGCTCAACAGTATTTTTGAATTCTGTCAGCTTAACAGCCCATCATATCAAATAATACCAAGAAAAGGCTGAAGGAAGAAAACATTCTTTAATGAGGATTGAGAATTGCAATATTATCTTGTTTTTGCCTAAAGATGACTTGCCTGTTTTGTGATGCTGCAATATCAACATTAAAGAAATTCAATGTGCATCAGCAGTATAACACTCATAACAACCACAAATATTTGTAATTAGAGGGAAAGGAGCCAAAGGTTGTATTGCACAAATTAAAAGATGAAAAGCAAAAACAAAGACAATTCTTTCAAGCAGCAATAAGACCTAGAAATAATGCCACTGAGGCAATTTATAAAGTAGCTTATATACTTGGGGGGAAAGGGAAGCCATTCAGTGATGTAGAAATTGTGAAAGAATGCATTGTCACAGTTGTAGGATACTCAGACCCTGATAACATTTCAAAGTACAAGCAACTGCCTCTTTCATAACTGATCGGCAACATGAATTAGCCTTCAACTTAACAGAACAATTTCATGCAATACTCCAAAAGGAAAATATATACTATGCAATGGCTTTGGATGAATCGACTGATACTACTGACTCCATGCAGGTTTTATACTTCATTTGTGTCATAACAAGATGTTCTTTGCTACGAAGCCTTACTCACTTTGGGCATTCTTGTGAATGAAACGGAATAGATATCTTCAATAACTTTCAAGATGAATGTCATGAAGTTGGATTGAGTTTGATAAATTTAGTGAGTGTATGTACAGACTGTAATTTCCATGACAGGAAAACCTGAAGGGTTTATTACACAGATATTTTTAAAAAGTATTAACAGAGGCCGTGTAATCCTAGCTCTCTGGGAGGCCGAGGCGGGCAAATTGCTCGAGGTCAGGAGTTCGAAACAAGCTTGAGCAAGAGCAAGACCCCGTCTCTACTATAAATAGAAAGAAATTAATTGGCCAACTAATATATATACAAAAAATTAGCCGGGCATGGTGGTGCATGCCTGTAGTCCCAGCTACTCGGGAGGCTGAGGCAGGAGGATCGCTTGAGCCCAGGAGTTTGAGGTTGCTGTGAGCTAGGCTGACGCCATGGCACTCACTCTAGCCTGGGCAACAAAGCGAGACTCTGTCTCAAAAAAAAAAAGTATTAACAGATCCAGATGTTCTCAATTCTTTTCATTGTATTTTGCATCAGCGAAATCTCTGTGCTAAAGCTACTATTTTAAGTGACACTTTGCAACAAGTTATAAATATTGTTAACTATATTCATGCAAATGCAACATGGCATCCAGGATCAGTTTTGTAGCATGCTGAAATTGAGATGAGGTATTCAGTGTTGAATTGCCGCATCATTCTAAAGTGCGTTGGCTATTGCAGGGAAATTTTGTTAGGCAAAATTTTGTCTCTGCAAGAACAGTTAAATTTGATGAAGAATAGAATCAGCAGTGTGAATTATTGAAAGAAGATTTCTATAGAATCAGCAGTGTGAATTATCGAAAGAAGATTTCTATAGGAATGCAACATTTCTGTGTGATATGTCAAGTCAAAACAGCTTGAATGTTTATTTCCAAGGTAAAACTGAGTCTATATATATATACATATATATATATATATATGGCAAAAGAATCTTTTTTCAAAACACTTCTTCAAAGGGAAATTTCAGATGAAAATTTTCCCCAGTTAGCTTAGGTCATTGATGAGCAGGATGACATATGTGAATCATTTGAAGAATACTCAACTATTGTAGACCTGTTAATTGGAGAATACAATGAAAATGTCACTGACTTTGAGAACCATGCCATCACACTCAAATTAGCATTTCAGCCTCCTCTAATTGATATCACCAAGGCACCTAAAGAACTACAGAAGAAATTAATTGAGCTCTCAGTAGATGACATTTTAAAGTCATTGTTTGATGCTAAGAAAGATCCAGTTGAAATAAGGAAAAATGCAGAATACCCACGCCTTTGGCAACATGTCCAAAAAATGCTTTCTTGCTTTTCAACCACTTATTGCTGTGAATCTACATTCTCCTACCTAACCCAAATCAAGACACCCTTAAGGTCACAAATGACTGAGACCCATCGAGAGCAGGAGTCCCCAACCTTTTTGGCACCAGGGACTGGTTTTATGGAAGACAATATTTCCACAGACTGACAGGCTAGGGGGGCTAGGCAGAACTCAGGCGGTGATGCAATGGGAAGACGAAGCTTTGCTAGCTCATCTGCTGTGGGGCCCAGTATCCAAGTTTCATGGAAGACAATTTTTCCATTGGATAGGGGGGCAGCCGGGGGGGTTGTGGAGCTTAGGTGATGTGCGGCCCAGTTCCTAACAGGCCATGGACTGGTGCCCAGGGGTTGGGGACTGCAGTTCTAGAGAATCTACTGAAATTGAAGACCTCTATGCTGTAACCAAATATTCAAATGTTTTCCAACAAAAAGCAGATGCAACAAAGTCACTAAAAGGTTAGTTAACTTTAAAATTAACAAAGAGGGCCGGGCTCGGTGGCTCACACCTGTAATCCTAGCACTCTGGGAGGCCGAGGCGGGTGGATTGCTCGAGGTCAGGAGTTCAAGACCAGCTTGAGCATGAGTGAGACTCGTCTCTACTATAAATAGAAAGAAATTAATTGGCCAACTAAAAGTATATATACAAAAAATTCGCCGGGCATGGTGGCACATGCCTGTAGTCCCAGCTACTCAGGAGGCTGAGGCAGGAGGATCGCCTGAGCCCAGGAGTTTGAGGTTGCTGTGAGCCAGGCTGACGCCACGGCACTCACTCTAGCCTGAACAACAAAGCGAGACTCTGTCTCAAAAAAAAAAAAAATTAAAAATAAATAAATAAAATTAACAAAGAGTTTTCATTTTTTGAAACTATTAAGTGCATAATTACAAAATAATCTACATTAAAGTATATCTAGTCAAAGTGTCTTGAATGCAGCCTTATTTGATTACAGCTAAATTAATACTGCCTTCCAACATGAAGTTTGCCCACCCCTATATTAGACTAAATCACCTTAGTGTTCCGTCCTGCTCTACTGTTATATTATGCAAAATATGAAAGATGTATTTAAATTTTGAATAGATATTATTTTTGATATCCATGTTTGGTGTTAATTACATCAACTGAAATGTAGGATGTTCTGTAGTCAGATTTCTTTTTTTTTTACTTGTTTCATCTGTCCTGAACACAAGCATGTAGTCAGATTTCTGAAGAAGCTATGAAATGTGGTGGAGGCCATTATTGCTACAAATAGTTTTTTTTTAGCCACCATGCCCGGCTAATTTTTTGTATATATATTAGTTGGCCAATTAATTTCTTTCTATTTATAGTAGAGATGGGGTCTCGCTCTTGCTCAGGCGGAGCTTCAAAGCGGTGACCATCCCCGACATCTTTTTAAGAGGATGAAAGTCTAAGTAGTTTATATAGGTATGAGCAGATTATTGAGTACTTAAAAATCTGAAGTCTGAGTCAATTTAACTCTGGCTCACGTATCTAAAGGTACATGGTTAGCCTTGAAAATTGTTAAATGAAAAAAGCATACAGCGAGTTTAAAAAGCATATGTACCGCTCT